TCGTTCGATGTTACTTCGCGAGCACGAGAGTAATAGAGACAGATCCCAGCGAGTTTCTCAGAACGGAAATTATATTTTCGCATTGAAGTTATACCACCATAGAGTCGAGTCCGAGCATCGTCTCCTAGCAATACGCATTTTCAGTTTCTCTTTGCGAAACTACGTACTACACGCCTCTCTACGTGCTATAGCGCCGTGCGTGTTTTGCCGAGTTCGCACGCTCGTTTAAGCCGTACGTTCGTACGCTAACGCAGATACGGAAGGTTCTTGTTATCTTTAACGGTAAACCGAATGGTATCGATGTTTTATTCGAGAATTATTCCTCCCAGTTCGTCCTTACGTATGCGCGTACTCGTGCGCGCGTACTCACCGACGTGTGTTCGTTATCGAATTAAAATGAGCCTCTTCCTCTTCGAACGTGAATCCCGTTTCTTTGAAATTCCTTATTCGAAAGCGTCTTAAAGAAAACTGGCCCGTCCTCTCGAAAAGACGAGCTAGAAATACTTATCGCAGTCTGCTCGATATCCTGAGCTCGATCGTTGAAAAGGGGGTAATGTCGATAATATCGAAGGGTTTTCTCTCTCCTTCTTCCTCTCTCTCTCTCTCTCTCTCTCTCTTTCTCTCTCTCTTTCTTTTTCTTGTTAACACACAAGACGATTAATTTCCGAGTTACGATCGTCCAAATAAACTATAGGCGTTTGTAAACTTTCCCAAGAGCGTTAACGAAGTCGAAAAAGCGGATTTAATCGATTCTACCTATCGGCGGGCACTTGTAGGAATTTTATCTTCATTCGTTGGAATATAAAATATCGTTGAAACGCTTCCTCTCTTAACACTAGAATCGATCTTTCGGCGCCATTATATACGTCGACGTAATTAACTGACCGCTTACACCGGAGCATCTCTAATGAAGAATATATATATATATATATATATATATATATATATATATATATTTATATGCGTATTCTTGCGGAGCTACTAAGTACTCAAGGATGACTAATACTCAACGGTGCCTCGTTGACCGATCGTTATGGCTCGAGTAACGACACGGTGTAGAGTGGTCGTGGCTAGTAATCTTAACGAAGGAGAGAAAGAGAAAGATTAGAAAAAGAGCAAGAGAAAGGGAGGGCGGAAGCGTCGAAGGGAAGCAAACGCGAGGCAAACGAAGACGCATTCTTAACTGAGAAACACTTAACCCTATACGATCGGATGATACGACTAATCGCGTCCGCATACCGGTAAGATCGTTCGGAGGTACGAACGATGATCGACGAGCGCTCGTCGAGTTTTAATCGCCTTCGATGAATCCTCCCTCGACGGAGACGTTGGTCCTGTCGTGAACCGAGTCGCGAAGGTTAACGTACTCACAGCACGTAAAATCGAAAGAAGCACGCACTCGGGATTGCTCCGAGCATCTTGTAAAATCTATTAATTTATCAACGTGTAAAAGATGCCGCGAGAGTTAATCTAACGAACTTTCGGCTCCCCGTTATATATCCCTTTTGTAAGAATAACTTTTCTTTCTCTCTCTCTCTCTCTTTTGAATAAAATTGAGATAAGAAGAAAGAGTAAAAGAGAAATGGAGATAAAGATGAAGAGAGGTAGGCGACAGGCGATTAAGGATTTTCAATGAGAATCTTCACGGCGACAAATCTCGTAGAAACTGCGTACTGGACGTTATCCCATCTGTTAGCATTAAAGCGATCTCCCGCGCGTTCGTAGATGAAATTTTAATTACGATAAGGGATTACGCTTGACGGGAAAAAAAGAGGTGGATGGAAGAGGGACAGTGGGTGAGTGAGATAGAAAAAGAGAGAGAGAGAGAGAGGGAGAGAGAGAGAGAGAGGGAGGGAGGGAGGGAGATAGAAAGAGGAAAAGAGAGATAAAAGAAGGAGGAGGAAAAGTAAGCGATGGTGGTGGCTCTGGGAAGAAGAGGGTTGGAACGAAGAAAGGCGGCGTGCCGGAGACGCTAAAGGCGATAAAAATGTCGGCGCTACGACGTTAAAGTGTCGAGGAAACGTGCCTCGAATACCGCGGCGCTCTTGTAAGTACCTAGTAGCAGCACCGGCGCATCTCTTGCACGTTTAATCAGGGGCTCTCGTAAAGTGGATCACCGCAAATTCTATATCTTCTTCCCTTCTCCACTCACCCTCTTATCATCCACCTCATTTTCTTTCCCCCTTTCTCTCGTTTCTCGAAGCGTTGCTTTTACGGTTCAGCAAACGCGATATAATTTTTCGTGAATCGGATACGAGCGACGACGATGGTGCTTTGACCTTACCGACTTCTTTATTCGATTTATTTATCCTACAGCGAAAAGCAAAGTTCGTTGAGTTCCCATAATAGAGTTGGATTCATCTTTTCTAAGATCACGCGTATTCACGCGCCTAGTGAGAATTTTACAAAAGTTCAACGCATATATATATATATATATATATATATATATATATATATATCTTACTTATATTACATCAATCGCGTGTTAACGGTCTGCAACGCGACTCCAAAGCTGTGTCAACGGCACGGATATAGATATTTCTCCTAGTACATTCCTACGGGAACGCGTTGAAAATTCTACAGTTACAAGCATAGGATCGCGTGACATTCGACTCTCTCTCTCTCTCTCTCTCTCTCTCTCTCTTTCTCTCACTTGCTTGCTCTTGTTCGCGGAAGGTAACGGAGGTAACTATTAATCGCGGCGTGATCTTAAGGTAAGATCTTCGATCTTAATATCCTTTCGAGCTAAAGGATAAGAATGTACATTTGCGCGTTGTTACTCAGCCTCTTTCATTCCCATTTATATCTCCACAATATCATTACACGAAGATAATTACTCTCTCCTCTATCTTCGTTCTGTATTCATTCTTTAATAAAAAATTAGTCCGCTCTACTTTATTTTCTTTCTTTATTTATTTCTCTCTCTCTCTCTCTCTCTCTCTTTCTCTTTCTTTCTCTCTCTTACTCTTTTTCGTGTCGGCATCGCGAAAGCGAAGGGAAGACAAAAGAAGGAGAAGAAACATCGTAATAACGTTCGAAGCCTGAGGCACGATGAACCTCTTCCGTACCGGAGAAGGACGTCGCCTTTAGGCATTGGGCCTTACGTCAAAACAAACATCTTCGCGGCTAGCCCGCGGGTCGAGGAAGGAGGAACTAAGGAGAGTAATCCGCGTAATATCGAGTCGAGCTCGCGTAGGAGGAGGGAAGGAGAACTCGTGTAGCGGTGCGTCAGGGTGGATGACTCTCGAGAATCACCTTGACCAAGACTACCGACGGAGCGAAACAAGAAGGTAAAGAGCAAAGACCAAGAGCATAACGAGAGAGTGAATGAGAGAGAGAGAGAGAAAGAGAGAGAGAGAGAGAGAGAGAGAGAGAAAGAGAAAACGAGAGAAGGTCGAATGGATGGATAGTTAGACAGATAGAGAGGCGGCAAATGGCGAGAGAAACTTGAATGAGGCTCGTAGTTGGAATTGTTATAAATCATTGTGGACAGTGGCCGCTAGCTACTGCGAGTACGTTCGTTACAAGCTAGCCGTGCGCGCATATGGGAAAATAATTATTATGAGCAATGATGAGAGGGAGGCTTTTGCAGTATGTTGCCGCCGATGCCGTTTCTCGCTCTCTACCACCCGCTAGAAGGAACCGCAACGCGTTTGCAAACTCGCATACTGAAAGTATGAGCGAGAAAGAGAGAAAAAGAGAAATAGAGAAAAAGATAGAAAGAGAGAGAGAGAGAGAGAGAGAGAGAGAGAGAGAGAGAAATATGATTTCGCGATGGATTATCTCGGTAAACCAACGTTCTTCCTCTCCGTCGGATATTGCGTCTTGCTCGAAGGAGCTACACTTTAACGGACCGTTAATAGTTTATGCAAAAGACTTCTATTTGCTCTTTTATCTTTCTACACTCGTACATTTCCCTTTTTCACGGAGAGTAATTAAACGTGCGGAAAGGAAACGATACATACTATCGGACAGATACTCGTCGTCTTTGCGGTCGTAAAATCATATATTTTCGAGAAAGGAAATGCGCTCTCGTTTATCATTAAACTTGTCAAGTCGATTACGAGAACGGTCGAAATACTATTTAGAAATTTTTATGACGATATATGAGAAGAAAGAGAGAGAGAGAGAGAGAGAGAGAGAGAGAGAAGTAACGGAACATTTTAACATTATGCTCGGTGACGAAGCATCGTCCGACATTTTTACTCTCGATTTCATTCACTTCTTCAATGAAATATTTATATTTGTAAATTGGATTAGCGAGTTTTACCGAAATGCGACCCGTTTTTGGCCGAGGTCAATCGACGGGATCACGAGCCAACTTTCAATTCTGCAATTTCATTGATTACAATCCCGAACAACCCATCGGTGGCCAATATAGGAGAGCACGTGAGCGCGCGCGCGCAAGTAAGCGTGCAAGCAAGCAAATCGTAGGAAAACGAACACACAGCATCTATGGTAGAGGAGAAAAGGAAGTGAATCCTTAGCATCGAGGCCAATATCGGAGAAACGGCGCCCCGTCTCGTTAGTTTGGCGAAGGAAGTCAAGCAAAAATACAAGGTGCGCTCGCGCGCGCGTGTATCCAATTACGAATGAGAGGAAGATGCGCCAGGATAACGAGAAATATTCATGCTCTCTGAACGCGAAGTTATTCCGCTGCGTTTTCAACTTTGCACCGTCCGAAAGTTAAGAGAATGAATCTTTTTATAAGTTTTCTTTGTAGCAAAGCGAGAAAGAGAGAGAGAGAGAGAGAGAGAGAGAGAGAGAGAAAGAGAGAAGAAAACGAGAAAAGAAATATGTCTTTCTTTACCACGCGAAAGAAACGCGGTCGCGTTTAATCGATTACACAGTCACTGCTTTTCCTCTCACACAAGGAAACAGATGAGGAAAGAGAGTGGGACGGAAGTCATCTGAAAATCTTACATTCCTAGCGCGACACGCCGTCCGGAAAGTCGAACGGATTAGTTCTCGCAGAACTAGTGAGAACGCTAACAGGACGTGTCAAAGGAAATGAGAATTCTGTAGGATCCATTTTAAAGAGTAGTTTAGAGAATGAAGATGGGGTCTTGGAAAAGGTACGGTTTATTTCCTCGAATCGTCGTTGAAGCGTTCGTCCGAAATTTTACGAAGATATTTAAATCGCGAATGCCGAAGTTCCTTTCTCGCTCTAAGGTTCGCCATCGACGGTTGATGGTAAAGACGAGGAAGAGGAGAAATAGAAGGAGGAGGACTTTGCTAGCTCGTTGGTGAAAGAGCGACTTCGCAAAGTGCAGAGGCCATGTCAAAGGGAGAAATTCCTCTCGTGCCTATCGTGTAAAATTGAGTGACTGGATATGAGTGAAGAATTTAGCGAGATAGACGGTAAAAGGAACGGCGAATGGAATAACGTGAAAAGTCGGAAAAAGGGAGGTAGGTAGGTAGGTAGGTAGGTAGGATGGATGGATGGATGGATGGATGGATGGATGGATGGATGGATGGATGGATGGATGTATGTATGTATGTGCGTATGTGCGTTATTCAATAACTACATATTTTCTTTGATGTAACTAACACAGTAGAAAAAGAAGTGGAAAATGAAAATCGCTGTATAGGATAATATTTTGTAAGAGATCGTTAAACGATCGTGACGATGTGACGATGGGATTCGTTTTAATGACGGCGTTGACGCGTTAAGTAGAGGATGCCCGTAATTCGTCGGACAGCAAACAGGCGTAATGCGTGCCGAGGATGGCTCGCGTCTATCGCACCGTTGGAATTTACGCGTACGCTCGTGTTCATACGCATTGTTGCATGGAAGGTTTACGTAATACGTTAACGATGCCAACGGTTATTCTCTTCACGCTCGTACATTATTCAGGCATTAGCGGCGAAGCAATTCGTTGCGCGGCCATCGCGTGCGTCATTTCGCGTCTCATTTATCGCGTCGTATTGGAACATCGTTGCGCGAGAGCTTGTTCGCTTGCATGTCTTCGGACTTGCCGGGCTCTTTACTTTTCATTTGAGAAAATCGAATTAATTAATGTCGGATTTAACGGGAGACTGAGCGTCCGAGCATGGATATAACGATCCGAGAGAAATGGGTTTCTCTATGGCTCGAAACTATTACTCTCGTTCTGAGAGACGAGTCGAGGAAAAGTTTTCAAAGAGTCTTTCGAACGATTTCAGAGAAATGGAAAAGAGGTAAAGAGAGAAAGAGACGAAATGGTTTCCATCCTCCGACAAAATTTCCTCGACATAGCTTAACGAAAAAGAGGAACGGACTGAACGGTTTTGGTAAATCGAGCGTAGTGAACTTACATTTGGTACGATCGAGAAAGTCGTTGTCGTTGACGGTCACGAGATTTACTAACTCGCTGAAACATCCCTGTGTTTCTCTCTCTCTCTCTCTCTCTCTCTCTCTCTCTCTCTCTATCTATCTATCTATCTATCTAAAGCATGCGGTGATTATTGATCGTGAACGGGTTAATCGTTTTCCCCTTCTTCTCTTAAACCGTCGCTTGTCCCTCGCACGACTTTTCTTACCGTTACGTAGTCGCTCCCACGAGTAGCTCAAGTTAATTATCCTTTTTGCTAGAAGCTACATCGTAGGGAAGACACGAGTAAGGAGACACGAGAAAAGCAATGAACGTCCCTTATGTCCCTTTTAACAACGTCGAACTGGAATCAACATAAGACAATTTGCCTTTTAATAGCGGCATTAGGTGATTTTACGCGCAAGAAAGGTCTAATTTTCAATGTCCAGAGAAAGATTTTACGATGGACATACCACTTCAAGAGACCTTCATTTTCATACCACTCCTTCCACCCTCCATAGTTTAAGAAAAGAAAGATATAAAGGAACGTTAAAGTACCACAGCAGCCGTTTTAGTCTGTCAGAGAAGGTTCCGCTGATCTAGCGAACATGGTTAGTGGTGTACGTGCATGCGGCGAAGGTGGTAAAAGACAACGGTAATGACAATCAGAAAGCGATGCCATTACGCCAGGCAAACCCACAGGTGTCCCACGACCTTGCGTGAACGCTTCTCTCTTATACCACGAGAAAGATAAAGAAATAAAAAGAAGGAAAGGAAAAGAAAGAGGAAGAAAGAAAAAGAGAGGGAGAAAGAGAAAAAGAGAGAGAGAGAGAGAGAAAGAGAGAGAGAGAGAGAGAAAGAGAGAGAGTGAGATCCTTACTACGCATTATAATTTTCTTCCCTCTTGTTTGAAACGCACAGCATCAAACGAGCTGAGCGTGAATAGATTCACGGTTCACAAAGGAGGCAAGAAAGAAGAAGAAGAAGAAGAAAAAGAAGAAGAAGAGGCCAGTGAAACGGTTTCTTCGAAACTCGAGCGTTTCTTCCCAGTCATTAAAGCAAGAGATCTCATAACATGGATCACTCTCGACATCAAGAGCACGAAATCCACAAGAAGAACAGGTGTTACTTGTACTTTGTATGTGTATATATATATATATATATATATATATATACATATATATATATATATATATATATATATATATATCTTTGTCTCTCGTCAATATAAATCCGCTTAAATAAACGCCTAGAGGGGCGCGAGTTCGTGCGTATGTAACACACGTACGTGCACACCCACATACACACACACACACACCATTCACCATAAATACACGCACAGTATCGAGAGCGCGATAGGGAGAATTATTCCGCGGTAGTGACTACAACACGATCCAGATATCGAATTGAGTTCTGCGCCAGAAGCACCGAGAGAACGAGAGAGATGAAGGATTGTAGGAAAAATGAAGAAGAGGCAGAGGACCCCTTGGGGGGTCAGAAAACCTATGCAAATAATCCGCCTCCCGGAGCAAAGTCCGAAGCGATATAGAAAATGGCTGTGAATCGTAATGTTGCTCCCTCTTCACGGCAAGATCTTTTATCGCGGGTGAACGCACGAATAGCAACACGCCGTCTTTCCTGTTATGTCGCGATAAGGTCCATTGGTTTATTCGTGGAAAGGGAGAAGCGATGAAAAGAGAAGTGGTGAAGGTCGAAGCAGAGAAAGGACGAGCGAGGACAGAAAGAGGGGTGTAATTCTAAAACGAAACGTACTGAAAGCGAAAGAGGTAGAGAGGAGGAAGAAAGAGAGAGAGAGAGAGAGAAAGAGAGGGAGAGAGAGAGAGAGAGAGAGAGATTGAATGGATAGAGGAAACGCGTATCTACTACGTTGGTTCATCATCAATCTTTCGACGACAGTGCCGTAGAAACGGGAGGAAGAAGGAGGGAGAGAGACAAAGAGAGAGAGAGAGAGAGAGAGAGAGAGAAAGGGATAGAGAGACAGAAGCTTGCATAATGCGACCAAAGTTTAATTACCACATTACTTTGGCGTTACTCACACCCCTAATTCAACCCTTTCACCCCTTATTCGGTCTGCCACCGTATGCTCCTCTTGTCCAGAGATCCATCACTAGTCGCGACAGTTTGTTCGCGAGAACAGACATGTCGAAGCAAAAGCTCTACAATGAATGAGAGGGAGAGAGAGAGAGAGATAGAGAGACAAACAGAAAGAGACAGAGAGAGTAGATGTTACGTTTAGAGATTCCTTCGGCAGCATCTCGTACCAACTTTAGACTCGTTGATGTACAATACCTCCGTTTGGATATGGACTTCGTAATCCCAGAGCATAGAGTTCTGAACAACGAATTCCAGAATCTCCATTCTCTTACCCGAAATCCTCGGACCTGATCGAGCTCTCTCTCTCTCTCTTTCTCTCTCTCTTTCTCTCTCTCTCTCTCTCTCTCTCTCTCTCTTTCTCTTTGGATTCAACAATCACTAGGGTGAGCTTTCTGTTCAAGATCGTGTAAAGCCGACTTCCGCGGTATCTAGTGAGTTAGTAATAGTAGTAACAGTAGTAGAAAACCTAGTAGTAGTATCAGTAATAGTGGCTTGTAGTTCACTTGACAGTTGAAATTGAAGTTGAAGATAAAGATAAAGATAAAGATAAAGATAAAGAAAAAGTTGAAGTTGAAGTTGAAGTACACAGTAGTAATAATTCTCGTATTCTCTCTCATTCGGTTTAGTTCACTCTAGCGAAGTATGTGATAGTTCGTGTATGTGTCGACTGTAGATGGTAGTGAGTAACCACTTAAAGGCGAGGAACTCAGACACGCATAAACCAGTTTCCTGGTTATCCGACTCCTCGCATTTTCCTGCTCGACACACGGCGCGTCGAACCCGCATGGAACGTACCATTAATGGAGGCTTCCATCGACTTGATTCTAGCGAGACTCGCGATCAAGAGACGATCTGTTCGCGACCGCTTAAAAGCTCCCGTTCTATATCTTCGCGTTTCTCTTTCATTCTCTTTCTACTCTTTCTCTCTCTTTCTCTCTCTCTCTCTCTCTCTCTCTCTCTCTCTTTGTCTCTTTATTGTTTTAAAAATGACGACAATAAAAGAAGAGTAAACAGATAGATAAATAAAAAAAAAAAACAATGAAAAATTACTTCGCAATTTTACGCGGTCCTAATACTTCACTCTCGATATCAATTTTAAAACGAAGATTCTCTTAACATCTTCCTACGAATCGACTCGGGGGACGAATTATGGCTTCCTGAGAAAAAAAAAAAAAATTCTTATCGAGTATACCGCTTACTTTCCAACGTACGGTAGACGATACGGAAAACATGGGATATTTCGTTTCGCGATACGGGAGAATCCGCAAAGGAGTTTAGAGACTTTAGGATTACCTTAAGAGACTGCCGGCGCGATAAAGTGGTACGAATTAAATCACTCGAAGTGACTTTACGATGCGGGTTGCATCCATAAATTTGAAGGAGCAAGCAGAGGAGCGAGCAGAGGAAGAAAGAGAGGGAAAAAGAGAGAAATATATCGGGAAGGGGAGGGGGAAGGGAAGGAGGAGGAGGAGGAGGAGGAGGAGGAGTGTTGTAGAAACTCCGATGGAATCTACACGAGCAAGGCACACGAATGCACTCTTATAACCTTCTGCATAACTTTGAGAATCCGCTTGACCGAATACCAGTATCGAGAACAGCCTTACGCCGTTATGTGATAAGTCGCGCGTCCGTTAATGTTTTACCTCGGCGGCTCGTACGTACGTCAG